TGTTATTCGATCATGCCTTCTTGTAAATAATTAAATGCAAATTATTAGGAGTTTTTAAATTGTAATGGTGTGTGTGTATCCCAAAGTACTGATGTCATGGGAATAAGGTTTTTTTTTTTTATAACAGCACTTTTTTTATTATTTATACACAGTGTAGGAATAATACAAAAAAGTGCCATTATATTAAAAAAAAACACGCAAACCTGTAACTGTGATGTATTGACTGTTGGGCAGTGTGCATGCGTGCGTGTTTGTCTGAGTTGCGTATTGGGTTGTTGATGGTTGTGGATGATGTACTTCCTTTTTCTTTCGGTCCCACTTCCTGTTCCGGGAGCCTGTTGGCGGTTGGTGGAATGTTCTAGGGATCAAAATGGTGGCTAATGAAATCCTGTGTAATAAGGCAGCGATATGAGGACTTTGTTGTATATGTATTTAAAAAAGTGAGTACTTTATGCCAGCAGCTAGTCTTGCCTAGGGCGCAAACAAGCTATATTATTTTTTGCAGTTCTAAGCAGTGATATTAAACTGGTCTAACCAGCTCAAGATTGATTAAAAAAAAAAAAAAGGATAATATGGTTCAGTTAAGGTATAGTGGATCAAACTACTAAAAACTCAGCATCACAAGTGAAAGGGAAACTACAGACAGACAAAGGGACCACTGAGAACAGAGTAACACTAGTATTTAAAGGGACACTATAGTCATCCAGAGGAGAGGTCACCAGCGCCGAGGGAGCCCGGCGCTGGATTAAGGTAAACTGCTGAATGGGTTTTAACCCTTTCAGCGCCACAGGAGGGGAACCATGAGGGTGAGGGTCCCCCAAGGATAACATAGTGTCAGGAAAACGGGTTTGATTTCCTGACACTATAGTGATCCTTTAAAGAAAATCCTTTAATGTAACATGTTAGTTTCTGGTAGAACAGTGATTCTGGTGTCATTATTCATAGAAAAAAAAATTTCGTTAGAGGGAAAGATGGTCTGTGCGGACACACAAGATGCCACAGCTACATATAACGTGACGTAAAAAATAAATGTCAACATTGCCAAGATTAGCTGTATTACACGCAGATAATTTTAGTTATCTATTTTGTGGCCTAAATTTACTTAAATTTAGCACAGCTCACTCTTGAGTAAATGAGTTTGAATGTTGTTGCATTATGATGCGTGCAGACCTAAATGCAGAATTTAACTACCTATTTCCATTTATTTGTATAGTACTTTGCCCAAAACTTTGTTTTTTACTTTTAGTAGAGAAAACGTCAGCTACATTTATGAAACCAGCCCAGATGGTGCATTCACGGAGTATAACTGCCACGTTGCACCTCGATTTGCAAGCTGATAATATACTTCAATTTTACAACACAAACTGTACAAAGCTGTGACAGCAGAACCAGACCAGACCATCGCTGTCAGCGCCAGATACGTTTTACTGATATCAGCTGTAAAATCATGTTCAGATTACCCAAGAGTATTTAGCTCATTGCGGTAAGTGTGAAGTAAACAGATTATGAATCTAAATGAACAGATTTCTAAAATGTAAACCTTCAAATTAAAATGGGTATATCCCCTTAATTCCTTTTTGGAATATCTAAATACACAGGGCCACTTTCCTGAAAATTACAGCATTGCATACAATATTGAAAATCACCTACAATTTGTATTAACTGTTTTTCAGGGGTGGGTCCATTCTTTTAAAAATAATCATGTTAAAGATTTTTCAAGTGACATCAATACCCACATGAGTCCAGATACAACCATTGCACAAGAATGATTGACAAGATGTTGAAGCCCAGTTTCAGGATAGAGGTGTTCAAGAGGTGTTGATTTTTACATTTAATCTTATTTTCTGTCTATCAAAAAACTATTTGTTAACTATTTGTTATACCCCAAAATTGACCTATTTACACAATACCACACTACACTCTACACACAAGCAATCCCACAAGCATGCGCCAAACACATGCACCATACACTTTCCTGGCCCTTTTGTCCTCTGGTATCCCACTTGTGGAGACACCAGAGACAATTTAAATGCAAACACAGCGCAAGCATGTTATTACATTTGCTTGCGCTGGGCAGAACAAATACAGGGCCTTTTTCTCATGCTAGAGCTCTTCAGCGGGGCTCTGCGCTTTGAACCAACATGCTCACTTTTAGAGGGGGTGTACTTGTCATTAGTGATGACAAAACACACCCTCTCTGGCCCCGCCCCCTTCTTGGGGGGGCCGCTCTAATTGAAAAATGCCCGGGCCTAATTTTTTTCCCAGTCCGGCCCTGGTGCTATGTGTGAGGGTGATGTGTGTGTGTATATGTTTGGAGGGATTGTGTGTTGGGGGAGGCAGATTAATGCCACTACATATGTATTTATTAAAATAAAAAAAAATAAAAACAAGCATTGTATCTCCCCTCTCTTCTTACCTTTAGCCTGGGAGGGGAACCTTGCTGCAATCCCTGGTGGTCCTAGTGGTGAGTGAACTCTAGCGTGCGGGGCTAGAGTTCACTCTCGCAAGATCGGGAGCGTTGCCATGGCAATGCTCCGACCTCGCGAGAGGAACCTGGTGTAGCTGCAAGATAAAAATCCTCTAGATCCTCTCCGGTCTCTCTCACTCCCCAGCTGGCGGCCACATTACACTGCCTGTGGAATCTTTGATCTCCCCACCGGCCCGTCATGGAATACAGCAGATATAGCGCTCGGATAGCTCGGGCCCTGTATGGACCGGCCGGGGAGATCCTGTGACCTCCCCTGCTTGCCTCGGCCAATGGCCAGTCCGGACCTGCACTTTACATTTCAATTAAGAGTGAGCAATATATTTCAATATAAAATTCAGCATCTACAATGCTTCCTCGCTCAGTAGTGTAAACGAGGTCTGTCCATTGTTAATATAACGAGAGCGGTTTGCGCGACATCAATGTAACCTGGCAGTCAAGGAGAGTGGACTGTAATGCGCATGTGTGAAATGATGACTTCACTGTGCTAGTCAGTATGGGCACTAGATGCCATTGAGTGAGCATGTGTACTGTGTGACCGTTGCACTCAAAATAACATTGGGTTGTAGTGTTTATGGTGCATAGACCATTATTTACTATTCACAGCTACAAACTTCAGTAGTGTTTTAACAAGTTGTAGTTTTTTTCTCATATTGAAATAATTTGGCTATTCCTCTCTTTTATAAAAGATTCAAATGTATAAGAGAGATCTGCACGAGGGAAAGGTTTTGCTTAGATCGCTAATTTTTTCATTTTGTTTTGTCCAAAATTCCAAAAATATAAATTTTAATCTGAAACTGTTATTAATTTCAGTAATTCAGATTCCCATGATTCACTGTGGGAAATTAATGAAGGTGTCAGTCACAAAGTTACAAAGTACCATGTAGGGAGTTAGCTGCTAAATTGTTGAAAGATCAAAATTGGCATTTGCCCTTTTCTTAATTTTGATCCATCAGCTGTTTGTTAGATAACTCCCTAACTCCCTAACTCCCTAATTTGCTATCATTATGTGGTTTTGCAATACATAAGGATAACAAACTAGAGAGTTATCTACTAAACAGTTAAAAACTCACACTTAAGAAAAGTAATTTTCTTAATTTTGCTCTTTTAGTTGTTTAGGAGATAACTTCATAGTTTGCTATCCCTATCAAATTGAATGGATAAAAAAATGAATTCATTTGATTCATTGCAGATAGTTTGTTTTCATTTAGTATTTGTTGATTCAGAAATTTCAACGATTCCAAGTTGTCAAATGGTCCGAAATCAGACTAAACTTATTTTGGTTGAAACTAATTTCACATTCCGAGTGTTTACTTAGACTGGGCATTGTGGAGTTTTTTGAAGGGAATTACAACTTTTAGGATAAAAAGCTGACCTGTTAAAAATCCCCCCCCCCCCCCTTTTTAAATTAAAGGACACTCCACTTCCCAAATACAAACTAAATAAAAATCACTGTTTAGAAGATATACCCCCAATGAAAGCTGTTTTTTTCATTGGGGGTATATCTAAAAATTGCTTGCAAAATCTGCAGATCCCTTGTCAGCTTCCTTTGCAAGCCCTCCCCTTCTAACCCCGCCCAGACTTTCTGTGACTGTCCAATCACAGACTTCACAATGCAGCTCAATGAGAAGTCTTTGCAAGGCAGGTGCTTAGGGCAACAACCAGGAAGTAACATGACCTGTTAGGGTTTGTGACTAGGTTAATTTATACGTGTCAATTTCTATTGAAATCTGCACTATATAATTTTAAAAATAGGACACACTCTTCACACATAAAGATTTTCGGCAAGCTAAAGTGCTTTAGGGGTCTGGAGTGCCCCTTTATAGATTTGAAATATCTTGTGAATTCTCTACAATTACCAGTTTTGTAAATACCTTTGTAAATATATGAGCTTCAATCCCTTTTAATATCAATATCATGTCGTTATAAATTACTTATACAAAATAGCTAAATTAAATAGATAAACAAAATAAATATAAATAAAATATATGGAACACTGAACTGCTGAATACTGAGCATCTGGGAACAATGTTAAACTTTAAATAATTTAGCAGACCCCCACAAGAGTATCTGTTGTCTGTTTAGCATACTGAACATATCTCTCTGATCTCTCCTCTGGTTAAGTGTCACATTAAAGTAAATTGCAGTAGGGGTTTTATATTTTTGGTAACTCCTGCGAAAAGAAAATATCAACTTCTTGTACTGCGTTCTACGAAGATATTTAATCAATTATTTGATTTCTAAGGCCCAAAGAAGAACTGTCGATGTCTGAATGACTCATAAAGGAAACAGTTGCAGTAAAAACAAAATAAGTGACTCTCAGTACAGTTGCGTTTCCAAATTTAACCAATAATGTAGGCACTAGTGAGAGAGGAACTTGTTGACTGTAAATTTAAGACAGTCTGTTTGATTGAAGAGCTGAGGGAACACAACGTGTTTTTTTTTTTTTTTGTCTTGTCTACATTTCATTTAAAAGCAGACAAGAATATCCTTGGAATATTTTTGGATATTAGTGCTGAAGTGGTTACTGGCAATTCTCAATTTTTCCATGTTTCAGTCACTTTCGTATTGAAGAAATAAATTGGTAAGCCCAGGTAAACAGATGATATATAATTTTATTTTATTCATAAACTGTGCCATGTTCAGTAAGGAGGTGCATTCGGATTATTTGTTGTGTTTCACGGACAATCAGTCTTTTTAAGATTGTGATATTTAAAATGATTTAACATAAGCCTGCCTTGTTTGATAGATTTGTAAATGGCAGGGGTAAGAGCTCATTATCATTGTTGTTGGTTGATTTGTCTTACAGGTGCATGGTGGTGAAAAAAATAGGGGAAGGTTTATGAAAGTGTTATTAAAGTAGGGCAAATTTGTAAAAATGGAGCAGTTGGCATGGAAACCAATAGAATGTTCTGGCTGTTTCCACTGGTTACCATGGTAATTTAATTGGATAACAATTAAGAACAATAATGTTCCACTTTAGAACTTTGCACAACTATGATTTTTTTGTGGCAGTTGTCTAACTCCCCCCCAAAGATGTCTACCATCAAGGGCACATTTTACCCTCTAGCTCTGTAGAGAGCAGTGGCAATCGTACATATGTAATGATTTTTAGTGTATTTTCAACATGTTTAAATTTGTTAAATTTTACTGGTTCTTCGAATTCATGCAATACAAATGATTATATTAACCCCTTAAGGACACAACTTCTGGAATAAAAGGGAATTATGATGGAATATTTCTGTCATGTGTCCTTAAGGGGTTAATCAAACAGTGAATTATTGTTGAAATACCCACAATGTTGCTGTTTTTCTAGCTTAACTAATACAATTCAGTGATGAATTCACCACAATTGACCTTCCAATGAATAAACCATAACATAAGACCTTCCTTCCACCCTCTGTTATGTGATGTGCAGCTTAGAAAATTACATTTTTAGTTTGCAAAAAAAAATCACTGGTTAGTGAATAGACTGCTGCACTGTTATATCTCAACTGAGATGCTAGCAAGTATGTTGAAATAGTTTTAAAAAAAATATCGGTGAAGGGACACAATTATTATGTTGCTGTGTAAAGCGATCAGTGGAATTATTTGAAAATATATGAATACAGCAACTACACTTAGAAGGGAGTTGGGGGGGGGGGGGGGTTACAGGGGTCTAGAACCTCAGTTGTTGATGCTCTCCTGATTCTTTTCCACTTTCTCTCCTTATTACATATGTTATTACCACTTTCTTTTAAACAATGAGGATTATTTACAAAACTGAGAAATGTGGGAAAATAAGAGAATTGCAAACTGTTGGCCAATGTACAGTGCCAAATTAGGATTGCCCAGGGACCTAAGCAGAATGCCAAACTGCTCCCCTCCACCGAGCCCTGGGTTCTGTTTCTGTGAGTTTTGTGTTTGTGGTGCAGGCTGGAAGATGTATGTGGGGGAAGGTTACTGTGCGTGTGTGTGCTGGTTGAGTGTTGGGTGTGGAGTAGACCAAGAGCTGTATGTTGGGGGAAGATGAGTTTGGGTGCTGGTTTAATTTGGCGGCTGAGTTTTGTGTGTGGAGGAGTCTGAGTGTTACGTCTGTACGGGAGTCTGAGTGTGGCTGAGTATTGCATGTTTATTGTCTGAGTGTGTGCGGGAAGTGATTTGCCCCTCCTTAAGCTTATTGTTTTTGGTGTTATCCCTAGTGGTCCAGTGGAAGCATGCTGAGAGCAGTAGTCTTGGTGGTCTGGTTATGGCCTTACTCTGCACCGACTGGGTGAACTTTAAGTGCTTCCTCATGCACTGGCACTCAGTGAATGACACAGAGTGCCTGCTGCAGCACTCTGAGTCATTGATACGTGCAGGATTACTTATAGAGTTCAGCACCCAATAACGGGGTTGTCCACGAAGCTCCTGTGGTAGTAAGGAGCACAGGACTAAGCAGGAAGATCAATAGATATCCATGTCTGCTCAAGGAGGGCCCTCTCACTGTCAGAGCTGGAGATCAAAATCTGAGCCCGGACTTTAGTCAGCCACTTGTGGCACCTAATGGGTAATTTGACTCTTCCAATGTAGATAACCTGGAAAATATTTGCAAATTACGTTATCAAACCCAACTGCTTTGACCTCAAATGCTGCATTAGAAGGTATCGTCATAGTTTTTTTTAAACTAATCACAAATTGTTTTGCTTCCATTTGCCCTCATAAAACACAGTTAGGATATGTGAAACAATCTAAAATATCTCAGCGATAATGATGAAGAGTAAGGGATCTGTTAGTAATTAATTTAATTGGAGTCTATGATATACTTAGTCTTAAATATAAAAAACTCAGGAAATGGAAATATAAGCAGTACTAGGCAATAAGATTGCAGTATTTCTATTTCGGTCTTTGGTTCCTCCTGACTTTGATGCAATTTCCTGATTCTTTTTTTCTCATGCCCTTCGAGTTCTTTGAAGTAAAAGTTTAAATTCTCTCCACACCAGAGTCAGGCGGGTAGGGAAATGGGTGAGTAAATGTGATCTTTCTGAGTTAAGACCCTTCATATTTCTTATTCTGATTTTGCTAGAATTGATTGCTGGTCATCACTTTTGCTTAATAAAAATAGCTTTAATGAAGGGATTAGTCAATATTCATGTATACTGTAGCTATAATAGTCTAGCTGTATTTATAACATAAACAGATTAAGTACAAAGCAAAATATATTTGTAGGATGCATGGTCTATGAAAGGACTTTAGAGGTACAGTTTAAAAGGTGGAAGACAGACTGGTATAGGGATGGACCACACTAATGTATACGAGCAATTCAGTCTTTTCTTGGAACCTTCCATAGCTCAAGAAACGTTCTTGTGAATTGGAGAAGCAGAATTTCAAAAGAAGGAAAAGAGCTTTAAGTCACAAAAAAGTGCAGAAGACAAGCTAGGTAAAGGGAAATACTTAGTTAAAACAGAATTGTAAAAAACACAATCTAATTATAAAGTGTTCTCAAAGAAGCAGTGGAGGCTCATCCACAGGGGCTCACCAGTGCCCCACCAGGTTTATCTATTTTTTGCAGTAGTTTAGAGCCATTAAGATAATTGTTTTCTAGGGCATTGGGATAAGCTAATACAAGGGCATTACCAATGTGAATGTCAAAATAAAAAATAAATCTGTGTCTATTTAAAGGGACTTTAAACAAACCGTTTTCCTGGCACTGCAGGTCCCCTCTCCCTCCCACCCCCCATCCCAAGTTGCTAAAGGGGTTAAACCCTGGTTCAGGGTCCACCCACACTCCTCCCCCGCTGACATCATCTGGCGGGGGAGACATATTGCGCATGCACGGCCCGCTGGAGGGGGAAGACCTAATGCGCATGCGCGGCAATGCCGCACACGCACATTAGTCCTCCCCATAGGAAAGCATTGAAAAATGCTTTCAATGCTTTCCGATGGGGATTTTAGCGAAGCTGGAGGTCCTCACATAGCGTGAGGACGTCTAGCGACGCTATAGCACACGGAATGTGTGCTATGAACCCGGAAGTGCCCTCTAGTGGCTGTTTAGTAAACAGCCACTAGAGGAGGAGTTAACCCTGAAAGGTAAATATTGCAGTTTATAAAAACTGCAATAATTACAGTTCCAGGGTTAAGGGTAGTGGGAGTTGGCACCCAGACCACTCCAATGAGCAGAAGTGGTCTGGGTGCCTGGAGTGTCCCTTTAATATTTAATAGGTTACAGTTCTGAAGGATTCTCCCACTTCATTAACTGATGTCTGGAGAAGCTTTCTTGTAAAAAAAAAAAAAAAAGACAGATTTGAAATCTGCCTTGTTTCAATTTGTTTTGCACATGCCTAGTCTCCTTTAAAAAGGAATTTAAGGGGCTTCCCATTGCAGTCCATGCCTGGAGGCATGCTTTTGTCTTGTTTATTCAGGGGCAATCATTAGCTCACAGAACAGGGGTGGGATTACAGTGCCCACAGGAGATAAGTTAGGGAAGCCCAGAGAGTAAGATCCTCATGCTGTGGTTAGTTGAAACATGTATCTCCACACTACAGGACTGGGGCTGTAACTCTGAGGACTGAACTGAATCTGATAGTTTAAATCTGCAATCATTTATGTTAACCATGTCAGCTACTTATTGGCTCCATGTTACAATTTCAGATTGATAATATTTCCAGATGTAAAGGTAATACAGAGTCTATCAGTATCCTGCTGCTTTAACTTTGTTTATTGAGAGCTGATGCATCAGGGGTGGCTGACAGGTTTCATAACCACAGCAACATTTACTAAAAAGCTAAGGTTGTCATAGTAGGAGCACCACTAAAGATGAGACCTGAAAAAGAAGAGCTAGAGACTCAGAAAGGGCTAGAGAGCTGCTAGAGTTATACAGAAGCTTTCTGTATTGTGGGTATCTAAGTAATCCATCACATTGATCCTGACTGTGTGTGATAGTTATGGGTTATCCCCTGTTTGTGCTCAACTCTGTGTGTTGTATCATTGTATTTTAATCTGCTTTGCATTTTATATGAGAATCTCTGCATTGTATTTTTTGTAATGTGTATTGTATTTCTGTATTTTACACAGCTCTTTCTGTTGTATGGGTAGATATGTAGTCTTCCTAGCTCTATGTATTTTATGGGTATTATTGTGTTGTGCCCAGCTCTGTGTATTGTGTAGATATCTTTGTACTCAATTCTGTGTAGTGCATATTTATCTCTGTATTGTATCTAGCTTTGAGTACTATATGGATATTTCTATATTATACTCAGCTCTGATAATTGTATGAGCAGTTCTGTATTGGATGCAGCTCTGTGCATTGTATGGGGACAACTATTAGGGATTTCTGTGTGGAACTTAGTACACTAGGTTAAGTGGACAGTTACAAACTACTATCTAATGATAGTAGCTAATGAGAAGGGTATTGGGGAGGGAAGATGATACATTTCGTGGGGGACATCCAACAAGAAATGTCTTAAAGTAGATGATAATGGAAGTTAAAAAAGTTGAATTGTCAGCAGAGGAGAGATAACCCAATGTATAATTTGTATATATATGTTATGGATCTAGAAGATGGCCAAGGTTGAACCTCATGGAACACAAATGGAACGTGGCAGGAACGTTTTTAACATAGAACACCCATAAGTTAGGGCTCAGGCTGTATTATACATTCTTCGGTAAAGAGCAGATCTTAAAGGAGTTGGTGATTAAAAAATCAAAAGGTCTTCAAAAGAGTTCCTGAGGATTATGTGTAAAAGAAGCATATAGATATAATCACTGGAAAATTATATTAAGGCTACCTCAATACATTGAATAATCAAAAGCCATACTGGCAAAGGCCAGACTCAATAGAACAGATTATGTTATCAAGTGTTATAGACAATGAAGAAGAAAAACTGGACTGTTTCCATTCTACAAAGAATGTAAGAATTCATGGATGCCAGGTTTTGTAGATGGTGCTCAGAATGCAACAGTAGGCAAATTAGAATAAACTAAGGTGAAGTACTGATAAGGATGAAGCAAAGACGAAGTCAAGGATATCAATTGTTCAGTTTAGGCAGCTCTGATTCAAAGACAAAATTCAGGAAGAGTTTAGGAGTATAATCCTGAAGTAAGGTGAAGTACTGATAAGGATGAAGCAAAGACGAAGTCAAGGATATCAGTTGTTCAGTTTAAGCAGCTCTGATTCAAAGACAAAATTCAGGAAGAGCTTAGGAGTATAATGCACAAACTAGCAAAGTGAGGCAGCACAATACAACCGAGCAAGGAGGACTGGGAGAATGGGCTATTTATTGGAAAGAGAGAATAGGCCTTAGCCACGTCATGTCTGCATCACTGGCACTCCACCGTAGCATGTCCTTGGCATGTTCGTAGCATGTGCCTACAGAGCCAAGGCACCAGAAGGACTGAGCCCCCACCTCCAACGATGATGACCAAACCTTGAGGTGCGGTAGCTTGATAGACACCACATGAACGTTCCCAACACTTGGAAGGACATGCCGTGGCATACTATTGGAATGGAGCATCTGAGTCGACATGAACTGAAGATTCTGATACCCTCTAACTCAGTGTCCTCCAAAGAGAGGGGAGGCACATGTCGTGGGAGCGTGAGGTAAGCCGTGGCTAGAGTGGATGTCTGATAGTGGATAATAATATGAGTATGGGTATTATAATAACAGGTTGAGTTAGGAATATTGAGGTGGAATATGATAGGGTGGAGGATGGCAAGTTGGGAGTGAGTAGAAAAGAAGGGCAGATGCAAAGAAACATTATTTTTTATCTTTAGACAGTGTGTTAAATATAATTATTGAATAGGTGAAAATAATTCTGCTGGTATCACAGTATACACCTGTAAATGGTATAAACCCTGCTATCCATGGGATTTCATAGACATAATTATTGTTTGTTTATTTTTATGTATAAGTGCAGTTCATTTCAGATTTCAGGACAATATAGCTGTATTGAAATAAATCTCCTAGTCACTTATGCATTCAGTTTGGCTAATTTGGTGTAAAATGTGCTATTCACTTTGAATTACCACTTTAGCAAATAACTCTATGTTATATAACCCCATGTTTTTTGTTTGTTTTTTGAGCATGAAGCACCTTTAATTATAACAGGAAATGTGCAAAGGATAATTAAATATTATGCTAGCTTTAGTGTACTAATAATCTTAGTTTTAATAATGACATACTGACGCACACAGAAATACTGACACACACTGACAGAAAGGCATATTGACACACACACACAGATATACTGTGTGTGTCAATATGTCTGCCTGTCAGTGTGTGTGTCAGTATGTCTGTCTGTGTATGCCAGTATGTCTGTCAGTGTGTTTGTGTGTCAGTATGTCTGCCAGTGTACGTCTCAGTATGTCTGTGTGTGTGTGTGTGTGTCAATGCGTGCGTCTGTGTGTGTTTCAGTACTTCTGTTAGTATATGTATGTGTGTGTGTCAGTATATCTATCAGTGCATGTGTCTGTCTGTGTCAGTATGTCTGTGTGTCTGTGTGTGTCAATATGTCTGTCAGTATATATTTGTGTGTCAGTGTATGTGTGTGTCAGTATGTCTGTGTGTGTGTGTCAATATGTCTGTCTATGTGTGTATGTGTCAGTATTTCTGTCAGTGTATATGGCTGTGTAAGTATGTTTTTAATCTCTCTACTTTAGTTCCCCCACTGCATTGGGGGTTGGGTGTAAATGGGGGGAAGGTGGGAGGGGCGGGGCCCAGGAGGCCCAAGAAAATGCTTTGCCCAGGGTCCTATTCATATTATAGATGGCCCTGCCTAAGTCACATGATCAATAGAAGAACCATACGGAATAACGAAGCCAGTTTGAATTCCAATACAAATACAACAAAAAATTAAAAAGACAGTGCATTTCTACCTACATGGTGTGTAATATCTATGAATGAGAAAGGTTTAAAATACAACTTTTATTGTATTGTTTAAAATATGAAAAATATATGATGATTTGAAAATAAAACTAAAAGCAATATAGGAGAAAGAAACTAGCTACTTTCACGGCTGTGACTTATTTATAGAGACTATAAAAGTCACATTGGACCGTGAAGAGCCGTGATTAAAGTACTCTGTGGGTTAGTACAGAGATACACATAGCACTTTATAGATGTAGCAAGAAATACGGAGGCTAAGTATTGCTGTAGGAATTACTAGCGGTAGAAAATGATAATAGTTAACGTGGTCTATGAATTAATAAAACAAAGTGGCAAACAAAACTTTGTTGCCACTTATTGTTTCTATTAAAGTAAATGTAGTGATAAGGGGGGAGAGAAGGACAGAAAAAACCCAAACACAGTGTTAATTTAAAGAAAAAAAACGAGTGTTTAAGCAGTAAATTGCTGCTGCTTTATATTTGTCTAGCATCTGTGCAGGGTTAATACAAAGAAAAACCAAGTTAAGCAGTTGATTGATATTACTTAGTATTGTTTAGTAGCAAATTTAGTAGCAACTGTGCAGGATCTTAATATTTGTCTAACAGCAAATGTGGTAACCCCTATACAGGATATGTATCACTGTATATATCTAATAGCAGAAAAACGGTAACGATTACATACACCAGTTGACCCGTAAATGCCAAGCTGAGAGGTAATATTTACTCGTTCCTGGGGCCCATGAGTCCTAGAGTATATATCTAGCCATTGGCGAACACCCCTGAAAGACTCCAGGACACTAAAGAGAGATGTCCTTCTTGTAGCATGGGATGAGGATTCCCCTTGGAATCCATGAGTATCATCAGATCGCCTGTTAATAGTGGAGGGTGCTGGTATGACAGTGTGAGGAGATCTAGGAACCAAGGTTGATTCTGCCACCGAGGCTTCACCAGGGGGATTGCCACTTCCAGCATTCCGATGTGGTGAACCACTCTCGCGATCATTGCAAAGGGTGAAAATGCGTAAGCCCCTTCGGTTGGCCATGCCTGCAGGAATGTGTTTACCACTGCACCCTCCGGGTTTGGTAATCAGCTGTAGAAAAATCGGTAGTTGGCGGTTGGTGAGAGACTCAAAAAATCGAATGTTGCGAAGATGGCTCTGCTATTCCACGCCTGCATACCGTCAAGCCACCATCGAAGTTCTTGTCGGATTTCTTACGTCATGGGTACTGGTTGGTCGTAAGTTGGGTTTTCCCTGAGGAAACGAAGTGTTAAGTGTTACACGGCCTGAGAGTGCAGGGGCCTGGTAAGATCACCTGGATGGTGGAGGATAGTAGTCCTATGATCCGTGCCAGCAGTCTGAGTGGGATAGAATCCCAATGTAGTATCTTCTGTATTTCCTTGCGTATTGTCACGACTGTGGTAGATGGAAGTCAGAGTGTACACGACAGGGAGTCGATGTTGAACCCCAGGACTTGCATTTATTAAGTTGGAGTCAGTTTTGACTTTTCTTGATTGACCAGGAAGCCAAAGGATTCCTACACAGTCACCCTGTAATCTGTAGTTGAAAGAAGGTGGTTGCGATTCTGGTAAGAGATTAGAATGTCATCCAGGTAACCTAAGCATGGTATGCCTTGACCCTGTGTCAGGATTATAGTTGATCCAGCACGTAGAATAGTATCACACCTAGGACTAAGGATAACATCTAACTGGACCTTAGAATGGCCGATCTTAACGTGTAAGCCTCCATCCACTTACCTTATTGGTCCGCCAATCTGCCAATGTCGGGATTGGTCAGACCACCGCTTTCACGCCTCCATATAGCATCAGGGATGCTGCCCACTATGCGCCCGCCCCTTTAAAGGATGCGGCACATGTGATCTTGTGCCATGAGGCCAGAAGAGCTCTAAACAACAGAGCTCAATGCACACATACCTTTTGTGGGCATGGTTATGATAATCACGCTCCCTACCATATAACAACCCAGTCTGCCCCCAAAACAGAGCCCTGTTGTGGTTCCTAGTATGCCTTGTGTCTCTAGTGTCCCCTCAGCGTGTTCCTCTATCCTTTTGATAGTTCTTTGGTTTTGATCCGACTTGATCTTGACTTTTCTGATTTCTGGTTTCCCTGACTCAGCTTCGTTCCTCGCTATTGTATACCTCTGGCTTCCCCTGATCGTGGCTTGTTTCTGGTGTTTCTTGTAGATTCTATTTAAGGACCGGCTTCGGGACTTTCTTTCTGTCTCTAATTTTACTGGGGGTTTTCACTCTTCGTATTGGGTAATATCGTTACATAACGTACCTTGGAATAGTCAAAATACTTGCCGAGGTCAGGGACACAGAAAGAGGCACAACGATGAGGAAAGCCAGAAGTCAAGGATACCTGAAATCAGGGAAGTCAAAATAAAGCTAACGTCAAATACCAGAAAAACACAATCAGGAACACACTCTCAGATAACCAGCTAGTGGAAAACACAACAGGACACTGATAAAAAGGTAATTTGGGTTTAAATAACCCTCCTTATGCTGTAATTGGCTGTCTCTGACCTCTGACCCCAGAACATGCATGCACGTCAATGACGTGAAGTCGCACACATGTTGGTGCCATCTTTGTTGTGGGCGAAGGTAAGTTTTTTATAACAGTCTGAACCGCAGCGGCTGGCGTTCCTATGAACATCGCACCCACTGGGAACCGTAATGAAGGGGGACCGGGCAGCTGCCCCCCAAGGTAAGTCTGAAATATCTGTCGGCGTGGCTGCTTAGTTTGAGTGCAGCCACGCTGGCAGAGGGACCGAGAGCTATGACACCCCGTAAGTGAGCCATCACTGGTTTCAGAAACCTTCATGAAGCAACGTGGTTGCCAAACTGAGCCCGAAGTGGAGGCGGGTGAATTGCCATGGTGACCCGTTCCAGAGGAACCGAAAAGGAGGGACGTATAAACATACGCGTTTGGTAGATTGAAAAGGAAAGAATAGACAAATGCGAATGCAGAAGCCAGACAGGTGGGAAAACTTCACAGCACCCCGCGCTCAAAGGCGGCTCTCTAATTAGGCGGTTTAGGCGGCCGCCTAAGGCCTCGCGCTGGCTGGGGCCTCGCAGCCGCCTAAACCGCCTGTGGGTAATTTGTGTCAGGTCCTCGGTCAGTGACCGAGGACCTGAAACCAGGAGGGGGCCCGGCGGCTTGCCCGGTATGCCGCCGGGTGCGAGGCCAGTCCTGGCTGCCCGGCCACCATCGCAGACACAGGTCTGCAGCTCCGCAGTGAGCAGAGCTGCAGACCATGAGTTTCGCGAGACCTGGCCAATCAGAGCATTGCCGCGGGTTACCACGGCAACGTTCTGATGGTCTCGTAGGATTACACGGTCTGCAGCACTGCGGAGCTGCATACCAGAAGAAGTGGCCACCGGACCACCAGGGAGCCCACTGGACCACCAGGGAGGACAGGTAGGCTCTCTCACCCCCCTGGTGAGGCTTCTTCTGTTGATGCTCACAGAGACAAACATTCACACACACAAGGATACTCTCTGTCAGACACACTCTCAGGCACATACACAGGTAGACAGTGCCTCAATGTGTATATGTGACACTTTTTTGTTAGTGGGGCCTCATGTTTGAGTTTCGCCTAAGGCCTCATAAAGTCTAGAGCCGCCTCTGCCCGTGCTCTCACTGAGGAGAGCCCGCGGCGGTGGGAGAGTGCCTGTGGAGTGACGAGCGTAGCCACAAGGAGAACATTTTATGAGAGGGGCTCACCCTCTAATAATGACAATAGTATCCATATCAGCATTGGGTTGGGCTTATGAGAGGGGCTCACTGTCTAATAATTAAATCAGTATTATGCACTGACATAATCTGTAAGATAAACAAAAAACTGACAGGAAGCAGTATAAATATCAGTATTGGGCTGAGTTTTTTAAGAGGGGCGCACTCTCTACTAATGAGATCAGTTTTTGTTAAGAGAAACAAAAACTGACAGGGAATAAAAGGGGATAAAGTAGGTACACAGACATCCTAAGTCTATACCCTACAAAACAAAAAACTGCATCCCCACTATCAGATAAAACCCTACATAAATACATATATAGTAAGAAAAGAAAGAATTCAATCTAGTAAATAAGTAAAATTACGTAAATATAACAAGACCAGCCAATAAAGTGTAGACACACAAAATTCTGACCTGACTTGTGATGGAGCAGCAAAGAAAGAGGAAGTGACTCAGTGGAAGATGTATCTTATACTCTCTGCCTGTTTCTGATTGGTTCCTTTTTTCTCTATATGTCTTTGCTGCTATGGAATAGTAAAGGAAGATTCTGCAAAATATAAAGCCTCCTGTCATTATTAAAAACTAAAATTAATAGTAAACTTAACAAAACAACAATCTCTTTTCAGGGATAGTAAGTGATACTATATGGTGCCTAAAGAAAAAAGCGGTTCAACACGTAAAGTGGAATTCCCTTATTTCCACAATCAATCTAAAATGCTGGAAAAAATGTGGTATAAAATATACACCAACTAGTGGAGCGCTATGTAAATGTAAAATATAAAAATATATATAAAGTAGTGGAGGGGTCCACTTACCACATTAATACAATAACACACTTAGGAATATGTACTTGGAGACACATATAAAGAGAAAAAAACAAATAAATATATAGTGCAGATGGTCTTTAGCAATTATGGGTGATAAGAGTGAATAACTAGAACCACTCACATGGACTGGAGCCTATGCAGTATTGGCTCCGTAAAAAAAACCTTTCTTCTCTTTGGGCAGCAACACACCACTTCCTCAGTAATGGTCCTCCAAAGACAAAACAAGGGAAGAAATAGACCAGATGTGTAGTACTGTGCAAAATTGCAATTATTATATAAATGGTAAGTATTGTGCTCACCTTGTTAAGAGCCTTAAGTACCTGGCTCTAAGGGTGATCAACAGTGTGCCAATTTTCTGAGATGGCACTCCCCTATAAGGTCCCTGGAGGCTTAAGGATTTGATGGAATAACTGGTAAAATGTATTATTTTAAAATAAAAACAAAATATACTAGGTATACAAAAATATAAAATAAATGCAGTTAAAAGTCCAAATAAAAGTCCAAAGTCAGCCAAAACGCGTTTCACTCTTCTGTGAGCTTCCTCAGTCAGTTGTAGTGTAGCCTCAGGACTCTTCTGCTTTTTAAATGTTCAGTAACTTGAATGAGTCCACCCCTTTGGGGTCACATGATGTGCAATTAACCAGTCACAAGTTCAGGTTTTCTTCAATTTCTTATGTCTTATAGAAGCACCTGTGATTGGGGAACCCTCATTTGATAATTAAATTTGCCACCCTTAAATATCTTATTGGTAAAAACCCATTGGTGGCTCAGAGGTATTAGACTATAGGGCATCCTATCCGGTTCATGGTTGGCGGAAGTGACGTCATGGGTAATGTCGTTCATCAAATCCACCCGCGTGGATAAGGAATCTCTCGAATGAACTTCATTGGTGGTCAGGGGTGTCACTCTGAACCACCTGCTTCTCCCTCTCACGGCTGGCGGAACATCATGTTGTAATTTCCCATATGTGCTTAGGGGAAGGTCGGGGGGTGGCCGTCACAGAAAAAAACTGTGCGTCAGCCTCATCCCATCCAGCGGCGTCCTGATCCAAAATCCCCATTTTAAAAGTAGGCACTGGGGAGAGAAAAGGGGACATTGAGCAATATTCCCTAGATGGCACTTTACATAGGGGTATATAGCTCCAAATTAAGGGAAAATATAGGGAACAAAAACCCATAGGGGAAAGAAGAAAAGGGAGAGAGAGGGAGATAAAAACACAGGGGAGACAAAAATTGAGAAAATAGAAACTTAGGTTATAAACTTGCAAATGCTGTTATCCCATAGTTAAACAAAATGTATTAAAATATGCATTGCAATAAATGTATTCTTATGATTGAGGTACAGAGGGGAATCAAATAAAGAAAAAAAATAAAAAAAATAAAATTGAAAAAAACAAAAAAGACTAAAGAATTTTTTAAAACTTTTTTGTATATTGAATGGTACCCTATATTTTGTGGTGTTAAAAACTGATCCAAAATAATGTGTGGGTATGCCTAAGAAGAGATGTATACAAAAACATATAAAAGATACGTTTTTTGTTTTTTAGTATCTTTTATATGTTTACATTTACATAGCACTCCACTAGTTGGTGTATATTTTATACCACATTTTTTCTAACATTTTTAGTACACTAAAGCTAGCATAATCTTCAATTATCCTTTGCACATTTCCTGTTATAATTAAAGGTGCTTCTTGCTCAAAAACAAACCAAAAACGTGGGCTTATATAACAGTGTTATTCGACAAAAAACAATAACGTAACACTAAACAAATTTCAGAGCATAGAATTGTTTACATATAACAAATGTTATAAAATGTTCTTCCTCTTGGGAAAATCTTTTTTGATTGGTTTCCATTTAATAAGATTCATCATTAATGGTATTTGCAGCTAACAGATTTTTAACAGATTAGAACTCCTGGATGTTGGGCTAAGGCAACATCCCCAGGACGTACTCGAAAACCATATAAGATTTACTTTTTCATTCTTACTGATCAGCATTTTGATGAAGAGAAGACTAAATGATGATATAATGTATGTCTCCAAGACAACTATGGACTGATTCACAGTAAATAATCATGGTAGCTGTATAGTGTGATCTATTGAATTTCCTCATTTAGTAGTAAAACATATCAATTCAGTTTAGAATTGTGAAATCATAGTGATGTAATGTTTCTACTCAACAAGCATAGACCCCCATATTGTTGTTTCTTTATTTTGACTGTATACTTTCTCCTCTCTCTTTTGTGGTCTACATGGATGTGTTTTCTTCTAGAATATTGTGCAAAACATGATTTTAAAACATATTTTTTCTTACAGGATAAGATCTGACAACAATACATATCAAGAAGGTTCAACAAGAATTCATAGACTCATTTTCAAAGGAGTTCTTCTAACCAATTCTTACTAAACGATAATGGATCTAACTGTTAGCATGGACCTCAGTTTTCATCTTGGTTCAACAAAACCATAAACAAGGCACTAGGACCTAATAAGGATCTGATCATCTATAAAGTCTTTATAATCTACAAAGACATAAAATAAATAGTTGGTCACAGAAAATATTATTTATTCATTACCATAACCCTACTAGATAGGAAGACAGTTTGTCTACAGGACTGTTTGAGAAGATAATATATTTTTCGAGGATACTTAACATAATCCTAGATGTTTATGATGGACAATAATCAGTCAAGTTGCAACATTAACCATGATTTAGATATGTATATGTTCCCAATTATATATATCACTGTGATAGTGATAAGCATACCAGCAAACTGCATATCCCTTTACATATCTTACCAGCAGATAAAAAAGAAAAATGAGTTAGGAGTCTATCTATTTAACTTGTCTTTATCTGATCTGCTGTATACAACAACATTGCCTTTTTGGGTTGACTTTAGTTTGAATCACAATCATTGGAGATTCGCAGATTGGGCTTGCAAGTTGAGTGCCTTCTTCATGCACACAAATGTATACAGCAGTGCTGGATTTCTTACTTGTATCTCCATTGATCGATATCTTGCTGTGGTCTTTCCTCTAAAATTTTATCAACTTCGCAGAAGGAGAACAGCAGTATTGGTAAGTTTACTAGTTTGGACCTTACAAGGTGCCTCAAATGTTGTAATTTTAGTCAAACGAGAGACTTTTATCATCACCTCACATAAGGCTGGCAACAACTCAAATGAAGTGAGTGACACTGTATGTTATGATAATTTTCCAATGGAAGAATGGAAATCGTATTTCAGTATCGTCAATGTATGCAGCGGACACTTCCTACCCTTAATAATAATGGTGTTTTGCTATTTCAAAATCTATGCCGCAGTGAAAACTAATCAGGCCACTGATGAGGTCGATAAAATTAAAATTAAACAGCTTCTGTTTGCTATTGTAGTGAGTTTCGTAATATCGTTTACCCCTTATCACATTGTTCTGTTAATACGTAGCATAAAAGAGCCAAATAACTGCACTTTTGCCAATAAAATGTTCTATCCATATAAAATAACCTTGGCATTATCCAGTGTGAACTGCATTGCGGACCCATTTCTGTACTGCTTTGTGAGTGAAGCTGGAAGGGCAGATCTCAGAACATTGTTAAACTGCTTTACCAATAAAATTGAGTCTTCGTCAAAGAATGGCTCAGAGTCAAAGAATGAATACAGGATGGTTACAATTTCAAGGAACAACATCCAGGAAAACGAGTGTCCTTCACCTATGAATAAACCAGAAATAGACATGAAACCTGCACACTGACAAGAACATGCACTATACAATGAAATGTCACATATATTGACAATGTTTACTGTGTGGACATAGAACATATGTTGCGTTTGCACAACTACCAGGAAATGTAAATACCAAGGTAAAAATGGGCATCCATTTTTTACTTGCGCAATATGGCAATTAAATTTTACACTGAAATTAAATTATTTATAAATGTTGTACAAATGATGTCCCAAAGGGACATTGTCTGCTAATGGAAAAACTAGACTGTTACTATAAAATCTGTTAGCATAATGTATTCGTTCTTGTTTGTATGTTTTGTATCGTCAGTATGTTTTGAAGTAGTGACCTGTGTGTCTTAATGGTTCAGAGTTATCATTCTCTGCTCCGCAACGAGTTCCCCGAATTGTGTTGTTGCATTTAGAATAACACTGACATTCCGAAGATAACTCTGCAGCAGTTCAACAGGTTAGCCCCAACCAGTGCTGATGTTATGCTGAATGAAGAAACACTGACATCAGAAAGTCATTGAAGAAAGGACTTGAAAAACATGAGTGGGGTCTGCAAGACACAGGGGTGTAAAAGCATATGAGTGGGTGCAGGCAATATGGAGAAAGTTTAAAAGATGCATGATGGTTCTAAGCAAATGTGTTCTACTCTGAAAAAACTCAAAAGTGGCAGTGTCTCTTTAAGATGGAACCAATATTATAGTGCACAGCATTTGCTGTGTTATTTTTTTCCTTTAAATATGGCCATTTTGGGGGAAGTGTGTTACAAAACTAAATATGCATTTTTTAACCAAAGTATGTCTCTGTGTTGTTTTGTTTGTTGTTTTTGACACAATGAGTTTTAAAGATATCTTTGTGGAAATAAAGAGTCTGTTTTACATTTACTATTTGTATGAGTATAGCTTCTGACCAGCTAAGTGTTACGTGATCGATGCATGACTGATGCATGATTGATGGCTGTGATTAGCTTAAAGTCAATCAACAGTCAAGTCGCAAGTGGTAATTATGGGTTAAATCCAAATGTCTTAATTAATGCCAATTCATTTACTGACTGAGCCTTGGAATGGTCATAAGGTAAAATAGTCCCTTACTTCAGCAATTATTTAAATCAACATCCATTTCGAGAAAAAAAAAAAAAACAATAAAAAAAACAAAGCAGAAAAGAAGAACCGCTTTAAAAAAAATAATATATATATATCTATATAAATAAGATGAAACAGTTGGCTATACACTACTAAGCAAAATAATAAGTTCAATATTGCATTAATGGTTTTAGACATTTTTTTAATAATAGTTCCAAGAATAAATTGCATACAAGAAGATAGTGATGTTTTTTAAGATTTTTTTTTCATGATAGTAAACTAGGAAGAATTCTGGAACTCGACTTAAAGGGAAGAAGGTGGAGAGATCATTTAAAGAAAATGCCTTTTCATATATAATCATATATATTTTTTTGAAATAGCTGTGATACTTTTTACATGGAGGAATATGTATATTACTTCCTTGTATGTTGCTAATTATTCTGTCCAGTTGTGTTAATTCCACACATATGGAAGAATAGATTACAGTTTTTATCATTTTAATCTCTTAAGGACCAGTGAAAGACTATTGACTTCAGCAATGCAATATAAGTCTTTTAAGATACTATGTCAAAATGCAATGTTATTTAAAAGGTCAAGTGCTGTATGGAACTCCAGATTTAAATAATAAATAAGCCAGCCCTTCTTCCATACTCATCTAGGTTCATTTTGATACCAGGTTATGATGATTGCATGATATATAATTGGTTCTTAATGAGTTAATTTTGATCTAAAGGTTAATACTCTCTAGCATGTCACTGGAACGATTATAAAAATGTGCAGTGTTTTCGAAATGTACCGAGAATCTTCATTTATCTATCCCTAATGTTTTTGATATGTCTTTACCAGTCAGTAATAGATAATAACTATCCATGCACTATAACAATTAGGATTGTAAAGGATTTTATACAGGTAGGAAGCTTATTACATCATTTTGAGAAAATGTTTATTTGGTGCTGTCCACTAGGTGGAGGTATTTCCCCACAATTATCCAGCGTCCACCAAAAGAAAGTGAATGTATGTGTTAATTTTTTATTGGGTAGAATTTGCATTAAAGTGTACACATTTTATTAAAGGAACACTTCCAGCTTCTTGACCACTCGCTGCAGTAAGTAGCATGACCATTTGCTAATGATTTGATTCTTACCAGGAGTCCTCCTGTCTTCTTCCAATTTGGAGCACCAAAAGCTCTTGCTAGGACTTCTCTTTATTTGTACCAAGCCAGTGGCATACACACAATCCATGGGGCCCCGTTGCGAAACTGATCCATGGGCCCCCCTCCGCTTCCCCGACAGACACACACACACACACACACACACAGACACATACTTAGAAACACACATACACACACACATACACACATACACATACATAGAGACATATATATACAGACAGACACATACATACACACACACAGACACACATACACATACAGACACACAAACACATACACACAGGCACACATACATACACACATACAGAGAAACATTCATACAGACACACATACATACAAACAAAAACACACATGTACAAAATGTTTAAGTCACCCTCCTGTTTCCTACCTTTTAGGTGCAGGAGGGTGACTTTCAGTGGGATCTAGTGGTGGCTCAGGCTGGTGGGAGTCAGTGACTTCCTCTATTTCCTCCCACGCGGGCTCTCTCTGATAGCTGGGAGGAGTGGGCAGTCAATTCCTCCCAGCTGTGATGTCATCACAAGGAGCCTGGACGCGCTGTTAAAGTGCTGCAGCACTGACCGGGGCTCCCCTGGAAATTGATCTCTATCGGGTGGCCCTAACAGCATGGGCCACCCGATGGGCCCCTTGAACGAGCGACCCCGGCAGTTTGCCATACGGGCCGGGGCCGCAACACATGGCGGTGGGCACCCAGTTGCATGGGTCTGCAGGGTGGCCGGTCCCCCTGGAGTGACAGACCCGGTCGCAGCTGCAACCCCTGCGACCGCGGTTTGTATGCCACTGTACCAAGCTAAGCTTTACTTAGCAGACACTCTCAGCCAATGAGCCAGAACTTGCACCCTAGGCTTAACCGAAAGTAGAGAGTATTGGACTCTCATAGAATTAGGGTGCGAACACCCAGCGAACACCAGGTAAGAAGTAAAACTCTTAGCAAACAGTCTGATTACTTACATTGGTAGGGACACCACAACACTTGGCACCATAACCACTTTAGTGTGCCACAGTGTTTATGGTGCTTGTGGTGCATCTGTAACGGAGAAAGATATTTTAAACTCATTGCAACTTTGAAGGATGCATGTATACAAATTATACAATGATGTTTTAGATCCACATTAGAGAGTATGAAACATTTTATTTTCACTAAACCAAAATTGTTGAGATTTCACGAAATTTATGACAAATAGAAAAAATAATAAAAGCCTTCAACTTAGCTATAATGGCATAAGAATTTGATTTCGTAGTGAAACTTCCATAGTTTTATATTTTGTGAATAAACCACTTTACTCTAATGTGTACAGCATTGTATAGATGTATACACCCTGTTCCAAATCATTATGCAAATGATTTTAACAGGTCACGTTACATTTTAACATAGGACCCCTGATTTGATAGCAGCTTCACAAGTCTTGCATCCATTGAACTTGTGAGTTTTTGGACAGTTTCTGCTTGAATTTGTTTGCAAGATGTCAGAATAGCCTCCCAGTGCTGCTGTTTGGATGTAAACTGCCTCCCACCCTCATAGATCTTTTGCTTGAGGATGCTCGAAAGGTTCTCAATAGGATTGAGGTCAGGGGAGGATGGAAGCCACACCATGACTTTCTCTCCTTTTATCCCCATAGCAGCCATTGATGCAGAGGTATTATTTGCAGCATGAGATGGTGCATTGTCGTGCATTAAGATGATTTTATTACGGAAAGCATAGTTCTTCCTTCTGTACCAGGGAAGAAAGTGGTCAGTCAGAAACTCCACATACTTTGCAGAGGTCATCTTTACACCTTCGGGGACCCTAAAGGGGCCGACCAGCTCTCTTCCCATGACTCCGGCCTAAAACATGACTCCACCACCACCTTGCTGACATTGCAGCCTTGTTGGAACAGGGTGGCCGTCCACCAACCATCCACTACTCCATCCATCTGAACCATCCAGGGTTGCACGGCACTCAGTGAACAGGACTGTTTGAAAATTAGTCTTCATGTATTTTTCTGCCCAATGCAGCCTTTTCTGCTTGTGAGCATTGGTTAGTGGTGGCCGAATAGAAGGTTTATGCACAATTGAAAGACTCTGGAGGACTCTACACCTTGATGTCCGTGGGACACCAGAGGCACCAGCAGCTTCAAATATCTGCTTGCTGCTATGTAATGGTATTTTAGCAGCTGCTCTCTTGATCCGATGCATGGATCTGGCAGAAATCTTCCTCAATGTGCCTTTATCTACACCAACCCGTCTGTGCTCTGAATCAGCCACAAATCTCTTAATAGTGCGATGATCACGCTTAAGTTTTCGTGAAATATCTAATGTTTTCATACCTCATCCAAGGCATTGAACTATTTCACTCTTATCGGCAGCAGAGAGATCCTTTTTCTTCCCGATATTGCATGAAAATGGTGCTCTTCTTAATAATGTGGAACACCCTCCTTTAGTAGTTTTTCCTTAGATTGGGCTCACCTGGCAATTATCACAGGTGTCAGAGATTGTTTTCAGTGATCAAAAGAGACCTGAGACACAATGCCATCCATGAGTTAAACTGAAAAACAAAATTTTTTAATCTTTGTGACACTTAAATAGAATTTGCATAATAATTTGGAACAGGGTGTTTTAAATCAGTCTCCTATAATGTTTTTAGGTGACTAGTTATGTACGGGTTTGTTTGTAAAACATTGGGGGATCCTGCAAATTTCTCTCTCCAAGGATCTAACAAATGGCAAGGGTGGCACTGTCAGCATTGTAACAGGAAGTTCATGATATTGACTCACTTCTTGGTTTTGTAAGAGCACCATGTCACAGCTTGGGAATTTTCAAGAAATAGGAAGTTCAAACGTGTACAATTCTTACATTTTTACTCTTTGTATTTATTTATTATTTGTATATATGCCTTTTTCATGCGTTATCCTAATAATGTATTCAAATATGAATAATTTATCAGTTATTTCAAACCAGGAATGTCCCTTTAATACAGGACCCAACTTTTTGAAAGTTTCTTTGTTTTTTAATGACCTGTGAAAGATGGATATTGTATTCATATTGCACTGTTAGCTAGTTTTAGCTGAGCTAGTCTTGAATTTCAATGAGTTTCAAATTTAGACCAAAATAACAGCTTCCTTGTTCACAATTTGTTTATTTTTCATATTTTACACTTCTATTTCTGAAAAATTTCAATTTAATCAATAACTCTGTTGGATTCTTACATGGCTATTCACTAAAATCCAAATATAGTCTGGATTAGCAAAATTCAGTTAAAATAAACTAATTTCAACCAAATTTGCAATTCTCAAATTCACTAAATGCCAAGCTGGGTAAAATTCAGTTATTTCACCCAAAAGAGCATATGGCATTCAGCACTATTCAGTGTCTACTTTAAATCAGTAATTCTTACATGCAAATCCTATAAAAAAAAAATAAAAAATGTTTTTTTAACTTCTTTACCAAACACTGGATGCAATTTAAAATGTTTTCATTCTGAATAAATATGCTAGATGGTAAATTCACAGCCCAAGTATACAGCAGCTACATTAAATTAATAATAAATTAATAAATAATAGAAATGTAATAAATAATATCAATCCATTCTTAACATTATATAACTTTAATAACCTAAATACATCTGTTTTACTTA